AACGGGCCAACACTCAGCCTCATACATCATGGCCGGTCTAACTACCGCTTTATAAAACTTACCTTTGAGTATCGGTGGCACTCTCTTGTCACACAGGACTCCAGATGCTAACCTCCACTTCATCCATCCTACCCCAATACGGTGTGTGACATCCTCATCGATCTGCCCTCCGCCTTGGATAACCGAACCAAGGTACTTGAAGCTGCCTCTACTCGGGATGACCTGCGAATCAAGCCTTACATCCACGCCCACTTCTCCTGGCTCAGCGCTGAACTTACACTCCAGCACTTAAAAAGTAAACTTTAAAAAAGTGTAAGGCTAATTAGCCATTATACACTATCAAGTGGGCCATTTAGATGGCTTTTTTCAGTCTTCATGTGCTCTTTGGCGAGTTATTACACACAATATGCCAGGTAAGCAACGAGGGGGTTTTAGTATGAAGGAAAAATAGTTCAGGAGGATTTTGGGGACTCCCTATAATTTAAGTAGGTAACTCACAAAAAATATATAGCTAAATGGGGTTTGAGGGTATTAACTCTTTTAGTATTGGAAAACTTTTATCAGCTACTTTCGAATAGAATTTCTTTAAATAGTTGGCGGCGTATATACTTCGCAACAAGTCGTTGTAGTATAGTGGTGAGTATTCCCGCCTGTCACCCGGGTGACCCGGTTCGATCCCCGGCAACGACGCTTCTATTTTTTGGGCTTTCTCCTCTTCATGGCTTTTCGATTTTAGCAGAATCTGTGATTGTATTAACGGGCCTAAATATGTCAAGCCCAGTAGATTGTCCAAATAGATCAACCTATGTTTATGTAGCCATAAGATCTAAGACTGAAGCATTTTGGGCTAACAGTACTTTTTGACAATTTTCTTCAAACGTTTTAAAAATATTTAAATCATAGAAATTTGTTATCCGTAGTACACTTTTTATTCATTTTCCTCTAGACTAGATACAGTTAAAGAACTAATATCCACATTCTCCTAGAAAATTAAATATTTTGATTATCATATTAAATATTTCAATCTGATAATCTTCCTTAATCCTACATTAACAACGGGCTAAAATAAGGTTGCTACAATAATGTAAGATGAGAAACATGTCTATCATATTAACTGGAAGGTCACCACTCACGAGCGAACATGTCCTCCTTTCTACAGTACAAGTGTGTCTTTTTCTACTACATACTTGAGAAACCAGATTGGAAAAGCTAGCCCACATTTTCATACCCCACAAGCACTTGTGGACCCGAGAGTAGGGCTGTACAAATGAAACCGATAAACTGCACTAACTCGATAATACGAGTCAAACCGAGAAAAAAATTCGACTATAGTTTGGTTTGATTTGGTTTGGTGTTGGAAAATAAAACCCGACCATATTTGATTTGGTTTGGTTTTAACTAAAAAAAGTCAAACCGAAACCAAACCAACCCGACATATATGTATAGAAGTTTTAAATATATTTAATGCATAAAAATATTTATGGTAGTGTAGTTTATAAATATTTCTTAACCTTTTTCGTAATTTTATCTTTTAACGTATTATTTCAAGTTTGAGCTTATAATTTTTGGATGGTCCAATAAGTTTTATAGTCCATAAATGTTAGTAACTCAAATAAATCCTAAACCAAAATCAAATCAATATTAATGCTAATAAAAGACATTCAATTCAATTGTACTATGAATGAAAATAGTGTTGGATATCTATTTTTTAGTTTTCCATGGTTTAGATAAAATGTATAACTTATTTTTCTTTTAGTGGTTAGTCATGTAAATAATAGTACTTATTAGTCATAATTTTAAATTATGTTTGTTTTCATTATGACTTATTAATAATGTTTATTTTATATGATTTTATTATCTTTATTGTTGAATATTTTAGTACAATGTCATGACTCATCTTATATTTATGTTATTTTATTGAAAAACACCTTATATAGTTCTGTCTTACTAGTATTAAGAAAATATTTGAAATACAAATTTTACGTTTTGTGCTATGAAGACTTTATGAAAAAAAATAGAAAAAATTCGAGAAAAACCGAGATTAAAACCCATGGCTTTTATTGGTTTGATTTGATATTTAGATTTAATAACTCGATACAATTGATAAGGTTTGGTAATTAGAAAATTCGAACCAACCCGACTTATGTACATCCCTAATTGAGGAAAGCGTAATTTAATCCGCCTTGTCTCCTCATCTCTCATGTTTCCTTTTCCTTACCTTCTTTTCCATGCTATAGTCCGTACTTATTTGAACATTGACCCCCAAACTCTTTATTTTTTTTATTTTTTTTTTAAGTTACGTGGTGTTAGATCCAATTTGTGTATATTTTGATCACTATTTCACCAAATATTTTACATTCCACCCCCACGTGTTAAGTGGTTGTCCGCCAAAACTTAAGCTGGTGAAAAAAAAACAACTCGTATGTTTTTTTGTCTTTTACGGGATTGGAACATTAGTTTCATGATTTTACTCGCTTCGTTGACAGCTAGGTTGCACCTTATGCATGTCTCAAATGTCATTTCTTAACACCCTTTTTTTGTGTGTGGTTGATATTGATGAGTGAGCGAGGTTCGAACTGTTCTCTCAACTTAGTATCAAGAACAGTTTCACATTAGGAAATTAGAAACAAAAGGGAGAAATACAAGGACATAGACAGGATGACAGCAGTCTAGATTTAGGCTTAATTCTCTCAGCACCACAAAAAAAAAAGGGACTCTTCCTCAGCCCAATAAGAAAATGATTTATTAACTAGTCAATTGATGTGTTGCATCTACAGTAGGGATCCTTCGCTTGGGANAATCGAGATTGGCTTGGTCTTCAGTCTACCCTAATGAAACCTAAAATCTCACTCCCTCGCTTTCTCCTTCTGATAGACTAGCTTGCGCATCTTCTCTTTGGCACTCATCCTTGGCTTGGGGAGTGCTCTCTCTCTTCTGTGTCAGCGAAGGAAGGATAAGAGTAAGAGCAATCGGCCGAATGATTGTTATTCCACTTACGGTTACAGTGCCTCTATCGAAGCAGAACAAGTCTAATACTCCAGCCCTGGTTTTCGGGGATGTAATTTCGATCTAAACCCGAAAACCCATATATTTATATACGAAATTACTTCGTCCTTTTTTTTTTAGCCCTTTTTTCATTAGGAGGGGTCTCCTTACCTTCGGTGTCATTCAAGACCAATGAAAATGACAAATCGCACCAACCCGATAATCCGAGTTAAACCGAAAAAAAAACCCGACTATAGTTTGGTTTGATTTGGTTTGGTGTTGGAGAAAAAAACCGACCATATTTGGTTTGGTTTTAACTAAAAAAAGTCAAACCGAAACCAAACCAACCCGACATTATATGTATAGAAGTTTTAAATATATTTAATGCATAAAAATATTTATGGTAGTGTAGTTTATAAATATTTCTTAACCTTTTTCGTAATTTTATCTTTTAACGTATTATTTCAAACTTAGGCTTATAATTTTTGGATGGTCCAATAAGTTTTATAGTCCATAAATGTTAGTAACTCAAATAAATCCTAAATCAAAATCAAATCAATACTAATGCTAATAAAAGACATTCAATTCAATTGTACTATGAATGAAAATAGTGTTGGATCTATTTTTTAGTTTTTTCATGGTTTAGATAAAATGTACATAACTTATTTTTCTTTTAGTGATTAGTCATGTAAATAATACTCTTAGTACTTATTAGTCATAATTTTAAATTATGTTTGTTTTTATTATGACTTATTAATAATATTTATTTTATGCAATTTTATTATCTTTATTGTTGAATATTTTAGTACAATGCCATGATTTATCTCATATTTATGTTATTTTATTGAAAAACACCTTATATAGTTCTGTCTTACTAGGATTAAAGAAATATTTGGAGCACAAATTTTACGTTTTGTGCTATGAAGACTTTATGAAAAAGAAAAAAAAATCGAAAAAATCCGAGAAAAACCAAGATTTAAAAACTCGGCTTTTATTGGTTTGGTTTGATATTTAGATTTAATAACCCGATACAATTAATTTAGTTTGGTAATTAGAAAATCCGAACCAACCCGACTCAGGTACACCCCTAATCTAGAGTACTCGCTAGATATTTCTTTATTTGATCTTAAAAACACTGTGGTTGATTTTTTGGACAATGAAAAGGACCATTTTATAATTAGCAATGGTGTTCAAATAACCGCTTGCAGTTGTCAAAAACAAGTGTGGCCTGGTAACATACACGAACACTATGTTAGACAATGGATGCTGCTTAGTAAGAGTTATCTGCAGGAGCAAAAGACGGGACATGTTAAATAATTGCCCTGTTTACGGTAACACGCCCCTTATAAAAAGCTACATTTGGTAGGAATGAAGGTTATTATTCATGATTTAATATGAATTTAAATATTTTTGTGCCTCCTACCTTTCTGAATCACAACTCCTCCTTAGATTTGATGTTAATAAAATCTTGTTGAATCTTGACCACAGTGTACGACTAGAGCAGTTGAAGTACCTGTGAGTCTAGGGATTGAGCTTTGACTGATTGGATTCCAATTGCCAAATAATAGAAGGATTAAAATGAATTCCTTAAACATGAAATAGAAAAAGGAAAGTTTTCTAATTAGCAGGACGACGTTAGTAATTATTTTTTAGTGAATCGAACCTTTAATTACAAAATCCTATAAAAATTGATATGCTTGGTGCATTGGACATACAACAACAACAACAACAACCCAGTATAATCTCACTAATGAGGTCTAGGAAAGGTAGTGTGTACGCAGACCTTACCCCTACCCTGGGATAAAAAAACTGTTTCCGATAGACTCTCAGCTCCCTCCCTCCAAGAACTCTCACTTTGCTCTTGGGTGCATTGGACATGAGGTTACAATAAGAAAATCACAAAGAAACACAATAAGAAAAAATCTTTCTAAGAAAATGGGAAAGCTTTTATTATATGGCCAACCAATGGGGTCCCTGTTTCAATGTAATGTTCTTCCTCTTAATTTGCTGAATATTGCAGGCCTTAGACCACACACCTTTTGGTCTTCCACTATAAAAAAAGACCATCTATTATTTCTCCTTTCACTTCTCACCCAACTGCATTCTTCAATTCTTGGCACACTAAAAACCTAGAATTTGTTTCTCATTCATATTTGAGTACAATTAATTTTCAATTAGAGATGAAGGGAAGCACTGGAGCTAAGGATGGTAACTCGAAGAAGAGGATGTCAAGTAGAAGACTAGGAAAGTTTCTTAAGGAGCAGAGAGGAAGGCTTTACATTATGAGAAGATGTGTAGTCATGCTACTTTGCTGGCACGACTGATGTCAAGTTGATTTCGCCCCACAACCCTCTTCAGCTCAGGTCTCTTGCTTTATCGAACGATTGATATAAAGAAGAAATTCCTATATTTCTTGTCTAGTAGGAATTGAACCTACGAGTTCCCCAATTGTAAATAGAAAAGAGAAACATGAATTATCTAGCTTAGCTTAGAATTGTTAGAACAGCAGCAAGGAATAGACTTGGTTAAGTAATCTGGTCTCTGCGGTTCATTATATGATTTCATTGTGTAATTAACAATGGCAGAGCTAGTGATACTGGTTTCTTAATTTACTTAATTTGTGATGCAATAGCCTCATCTGCTTTATCATTTACTTGTGCTATATTTCTGTCTCCTCTCTTTTTCTTTGCTGGAACGTACCCTTTTATCTTTTATTTAACTTTTCTTTGGAGCGAAAAAGAGTTTTATGAGACTTGCTACGGTAATTGGATTTTCAAGGATAGACTTGCTGATACCGTATCTAATGTAAGTTCCGTGTTACTACTTATAGTAAGTTTTCCTTTGCTAGAACGTTCCTTTATCTTTAATATCAACTTGTTTCTATCACCTATAACGAATATTTGCATTCATAATACTATTATTTAACCAAATTCACATTTATTTTAAGAAATTGTAACTCTTGTGGACACCTTATTCAATGTGATTTTTAGGTATATCTCGTCCTCTTTTTTTACCTTCAATCAGCATTGTTTCTCACTTGTGAACTGGTACAATATATTATAGCTTTTATATACAGAATATGGCCAAACTATTCAGTCACATGTAAGAAAAAACGATGGTCTCCGTTACTTCTGTAGAATTTCGCATTCTCTTCGTTAGTATTAATTGTGTTGTTACATAGCAGTACCATAGCATCCTCCATTATTTTAGCTATCCTAGATATTTTAGTTCTATGTGTTTTATAAAATTTATCATGCCACTCTTCTGAGCCCAAATATTTGATTTTTCTGCATAGAAGCTTCATAATCTCCAAATCTCACTTCATCTACGTACGTACTTTTTATGATGACTAAATTTGCAGCACATGCATTTTCTTAATAGAACATTTGTTTTTGATCTATCTGGCAAGGACCAAAGGCACCTACTAGGAAGGGGATTGAATCCCCTTTGTTATAAATTTATACTGCAAATAGGTTAATTAAAGATAAAATTTTTGTATATGTATAGACTGTTGAGTCCCTGGACATAAAAGAAACTTTTAGTGTAATGGTAGATGGGGTTCAAACGTGCTATGTATTACTCTTGTAATTAATGTTCCTAATCCATATACTATAATTCTTCTCGAAATGTCATCGTATGAGTATGACACATAAATGAAATATCACAATAATTCGTACAAATTTAAATATATGCCTCCTTTATGCTCTCATATATGGAACAATGCCTTTACACTTGTTCGCTCCTTAATATTACACCGTATATAACGTTAGTCATATGTACTACTATTCAAATCTCTATACGAATACCTTCTTCTGAACAACAGGTTTTTTCTGAACCTCTTAGTTTATTTTTATGGTATCTGATATTTTTTTCGTTTTACCTAATTCTACGAATGTACCTAAGATTTTTATCTGTGATGAACGTACATATATTCTACTGAAATTTTAAGTCGCTAGCATCTGGCAAAGAAAAGTTAAAAAAAATTATTTGGAAAAGGCATGTGCATTTGTACTCACTTCCCTTTAAAAGCACACGAGAAATTTCATCTCTAGTAATCTGTCTTTTCCTTTGGACTCCATTGTCACGCTAAAACACTGTTCTACACAGTGGGGGAGCTACTCTTGTTCAAGGAGAGTCAATTGACATTTCTTCTGAAAATTATCCTATGTAGTTAAGTTAAAAAATTTGCTCTGTATAAATATATATATTATATGTTAAATTCACGTGACTTTTTTTATATGTTTACTTTTTAATATCACGACAAAGTCATCTAAGTAGAGATTGATATATTTCGATCTGCGTACAAAAAAGGTATAGAAGTCGGCCAACTTTGAGAAAGATCATCCAAATTTTGGCAACACAAGTGACAAAACAATTTCTCTTTGCAAAAGTGGATCTTACTGTGCCATATAGAATCCAAACTCACCTTTAATATGCACGTGTGGCTTTGTTTATTTTTTCAGAGATAGGTCAAGATCAAACAGTATTACTCCTATTCCTTTTGGTCCAGAAAAGCAAGCAGTCAAATTTCGTTCCGGCAAAACAAGAAGAGCTACAGTTCTAGAGAGTAACCTAAAATACTACTCCCTCTGTTTCCACAGGTAATTTGACTCGACACGAAATTTAAAAAAAAAAAAGATTTTTAAAATTTGTGGTCTTAAAAATTTAAGGGGTAAAAACTTTGTGAGGCCATGACATTTGTGCGGTTATAAAAGCTTCTCATTATGGGTAAAATGAGTAAAATAAAAAGTTTAAAGTTGAATTATTTTCAAATTTAAAAATGTGCCACTTATTTTGGAACAGACTAAAAAGGAAAGTACCTCATCTAATTTGAAACGGAGGGAGTACAAATCTTTCCTCTCCTATTTGTCCGCTTAATTACTTTTTCTTATTGTAATAAAGTGAGAGTTTATCTGTAAATTGTTACACTATAAGTTCATCAAAGAAATAATTATAGACAATCGTCCATAAAGTGAGGTTATTGAGCAAGAAAAAAAGACAAATTACCTGAGCGTAAATCCCGTTTAAGTAATACTATATGTATGTACCAGATGTGATTTTGAAAGCTAACACTTTGGTTTTCTAGGAATCCATATCCTGAAGTTTTCCAACAAATTCAAATAAAATTAATACAGATTTCACACAAATTTATTAGCCACAATTAATATTTTTTCTCAAATTCATTTTAAAAAAATTCAATTTCCATTCTGCACGGTGCATGCATCAATTTATTGTATCGTCATTTTTGCAGATCAGCGAGACTTAAAGAGTATGAACAAATGGTTGAATTGTAAGTATGAAAATATTTGGTAGAGAACAAACCATGGGGTTACCTGGTTCGGAAATAAGTTATACCGAGCTTAACGTGGAATTATAATATGAATATTAAATAATAATAGGATTATTGAGAGTGAGTATACTTGATTTCTTGGATTTAAAAATGGGATATACGGAATATACATAAAATATGCTTTTAATTTTCCAATATATAAAGTTAGATAAACATTCGTTTCAATTTTAATATTTAATTCTTAGAGCTCTTAAAAAGAGCAATGTCATATTACTATTTTATCCTTAGTCTCAAAATTGTTACTGCGTCACACAAAACTTATTGACACGGCCAAATAACACTGCAAAGCTTTGATTGGTCAAACGACAGCACCCACGTGCGACAGCCCCATTTCAATCTAAAGAGGGAAAAGGGTCAAATATACTCTTATACTATAGAAAAAATCTAATATTATCATCGTTATACTATCTTTTCAAATATACCCCTAACATCATACTATCGATTCATATATACCTCTGACATCATAAAAGTGGTACAAACCTATCATTTCTCCGTTAACTGTCTCTCTATGACCACATTCATTGCCACCTCACCATTCTACTCTCATTTTCATTCCTTCCCCACAACCTTTATTTCCCTTTCATTTGAAGAAAAATCACATATCATAGATATACAAACAAACTATACCAAAAGAAATGCAACAACTAACGATAATATGAAACAATGTGAACCGAAAATTTTTTGATTTTCCTATTCACAATCCATGCTTGTACGAACGAAAATAAATTTTGTTTTATATAAAAAAACTAAGTGCAAACTAGTTTAAGGTTTCAAAATTGAAATCCATGGTGAGAGAGAAAAACAACCTAGGCATGAGAGTTTTTTTTTTCTTTCTCTTCAACCACATTTCTGGAAGGCTGCCATTTTTTCTATCTTTACGTTTTATGTTAATATAAAAGTGCTACTAAAATTTTTCTTAATAGGTCTTACAAATTCAGCGGCAACACAATGAAATGCATAATGAAACACAAAATTGTAAGATCAAGTGAAAGGCACGTATAATTCTAGGGTCGGCCTGAGAAGCAATAGGTATTTTGAAAAGCAAGAGGAAGTTGAGGCAGTGAAGTCTTCAAAATAATGATAGAACTTCAAAGTCATTGAACTTGGTAGCTACAAACGGGGTGAAATGGTGAGGTAGCAATAAAATGTGGTCATAGGGGAGGTAGTTAAAAAAGAAAGGGTAGGTTTATATAACTTTTACGATGTTAGGGGTATATTTGGATCGATAGTATGATATAAGGGATATATTTGGACCGATAGTATAACGGAGGGTAATATTAGACCTTTTTCAACCTTTTCCCTCTACAATATGATTTTTTTCCATTCAAGATAATTGGGCCTAACTTTTTGGGTTGGCCTGCTAGTAGCGTTGGGCTAATCCCGTGTGGGGCCATCCACTGGTTGTAATCGAGCGGTGCATCAACTGTATGAGGGGGGATGGGGTATTTTAAAAGGAAAATTTTAACATCAAGGGGCATCAAATGTATTCTGTTTTTGAGTTTAAGTTATGTTCAGTAATAACGTATAATTTTTAATATTATCACGTTAAGTTGCTTCTGATTGGTGCTCACAAAATTAGCCTATATTTTGTTAACCCGCCCAATCCGTCCATATTTTAGTGGGTTGGATGAGTGATATTTAAGTTGGATAAAATTTGGACTTCAACCCATAATCAACCCGCAGAAATATGGTTATTCATGGCAAAAATGTGGGTAAATATGGGTTAGCCTAGTGGGTTATCTTTCAACTTTTGTTCACTCAAAATACATGTTATCATTTTTTAAACTGAAAATGTTATGAAAGTATTACAACTCCTCTTCCTTTGTGTGTTTCTTCGCACTATAGTTGACTATGTGAGTATTTGTTTTCCTTTCTAAATATTGTAAGTACTTTACTATTGTTTAGCGTCCTTATTCTTTCTAGATGCATACTCGAATACCAAAAAATAGTATAAGAATTAGAAGCAAATTAAGGGTGTGTTTGGTATGAAGGAAAATAAATTTCAAAAAATATTTTCCAATATTTTCATGTTTGGTTGGCTTAAATATTTTATAAAATACTTTCCTCATGAACTCATTTTCCTTCAATTGGAGGAAAATATTTTCCTTATCAAGAGAAGGAAAAATATTTTTCAAAACTCCTTTTCA